TTATACTATTTCTGGTAGTTAGATGATTCAAAAGCACTTGAATGTCATAGAAGAATTTTGTGTGAAAGCGATTATAAAGGACACAGGCACACAAACCTAGCTATTCAGGATTTTGGGTCTGGCTTTCTCGTCTCCTAGAATGAACATTTTTTTGATAGACTGAAAAGTTTTTTTTCTTCTTGGAAACAACAAATGAAGCTGAACTTCACAAAATTCCCAACATGTTGCCGAAAATTTGAATTAAAATCTTTTTTTTTTTTGGAAAATTTTCAGAATTTTGTGTTTTCTTTTTTTGTTGTCGATCAACCTGATGGAATTTTTTATTAGTCTCGAGGATACGAGATATTGTTAATTTATATCCTTTCAGTTATGTTATGGATGGTTGGATTGCATGAAACCTCCTCTATCCCTCCCCAAGGTATAATGGAGGCTTACCATTAACATTTAATCACTTTGACGTTTGCAAAGAAGAGGAGAAGAGCCAACCAAATGACAGAGACAACAACACCACCAGCAACAACAACAATAATAATTCATCAATATTTCATAGACAGGGATAATCCATGAACAGGAGCGAAAAAAGCCAAAGTTCAAACCCAAGAGACTGTTGATGGATGGTGGATTGTCGTAGCTTCTGTTGTTGTCGTTAAATTTGGCAATGAAAAAGGACACGTTTTTCTCGTCCTGCACACAATTTGTGTGAAATTAAATGCATGCCATGAGAATGGAGATGTCTTGCAGTGAAGCTAGCACAGGGGGTTCAAATGAATCAGAAGTCGAATTTTGAAATAGCATTTTTTTCAAGGACCCACTGAACTCTCGACATGGATTTTTGATTTTAGGATTTTTTTTCTAGGATATAGGCAAGGATTTTTAAATATATTTCTTTCTACCACCTACTGAGCTCCAGGCGTGGATTTTTAAATAAATTTTTTCAACCTCTACTGAGCTCCAGACGTAGATTTTCAAATAGAATTTTTTCTAGGACCTACTTAAGCTACAGTCGTGAAATTTTAAATATAATTTTTTAGGACCTGCTGAGCTCCAAGCGTGGATTTTTAAATTGATTTTTTTCTGGGACCTGCTGAGCTCCAGGCGTGGATTTTTAAATTGAATTTTTTCTAGGAATTTTTCTAGGGTAATCTAGGCTCTAGGCTTGGATTTTTATTTAAATGTAATTTTTTCAAGCTCCAATTGTCCTCCAGCCTTGGATTTTTAAATATAATTTTTTCAACCTCTAACTGAGCTCCAGGCGTAGATTTTTAAATATAATTTTTCTAGGTCATATTGAGCTCCAGGCATGGATTTTTAAATATAATTTTTTATAGAACTTACTGAGCTCCAGGCGTGGATTTTTAAAAATACTTTTTTCTGTGACCTATTGAGCTCCAGGCGTGGATTTTTAAATAAACTTTTTTCTGTGACCTATTGAGCTCCAGGCGTAGATTTTTAAATAAACTTTTTTCTGTGACCTATTGAGCGTGGATATTTAAAAAGAAAATTCTCAGGCTCTAACTGAGCTCCAGGCGTGGATTTTTAAATAGAATTTTTTCTAAGACCCACTGAGCTCCAGGCGTGGATTTTTAAATAGAATTTTTTCTAGGACCCACTGAGCTCCAGGCGTGGATTTTTAAATAGAATTTTTTCTAGGTCATAGTGAGCTCCAGGCGTGGATTTTTAAATAGAATTTTTTCTAGGTCCTAACTGAGCTCCTGGCGTGGATATTTAAATAGATTTATAGATTATCTATGCTTCAGCGCGGATTTTTTAAATAATTTTTCAAGGGTTATCTAGGCTTCAGGCGTGGAACAGAATTTTTCAAGAATCAACAGAGCTTCAGAATTGAAATAGAATTCTTTCAACCTCTAACTGAGCTGAAACCGTGGATTTGTAAATAGGATTTTTTCAAGCTGACCTCCAGCCGTGGACTTTTAAATATAATTTAATCAAGCTTCAACTGCCCTTCAGGCGTTAATTTTTTTATATATATTTTCAAACTCAATTAGTGCGTATACGTGTTGTCAACACGTATACGCCTCTAAAATTCAATAATATAATTTGAGGATACCTGGTAATTTTTCTATACTTTTGCAAACAATTTTCTCCCCTTCCGAATAAAAAATGATTTAATTTCCCATTCCACGAAGAATCCACGCTGTTACGTGTCCCTTGGTGCAGCGCAGATATGTTCGGGTAGCTCCGACTAACTCGGCCGACTCTCTTAGGGCAGGTCCCATCCCGACAACTGGTTCAGAAACACCAACAATAAATACAAGCATCATTCTACATAAACTTAATACTGAAACTACTAACTATTTCCACCATGTTCCATTAAAACTATCGCCAACTTGGCCTGTTAGGCCGCCCTCCCTACCCCCCTCCTTTCTTTTAAGCCCCAACTGACCTCAAGGTGTGGATTTTTTTAAATATTTTTTTCGAAGACTGGTCTTTTAAACCACTGTGCCTCTGTGCACCGTACTACTTCTCTATGCATGAGCTTGTATATATGTAACGGAATGATGTTGTTATGGCTTGATATTGGATTGTTGCAGTAGAACCGTAAAGTACAGACGAATTGGTGTAAATATTCGGCATTCTACAGATGCATGTAGCCAGGTAGGCAGGCAGGTGGTAGGATTTTTTTGTTGCTGTGAAGGCTTAAATGACCAACAAGCAACCACGTCACCTGAGATGAGTGTCAGATTGTAACCATCAATAGTTGTTGTCGTTGTCATTTGAGACTATACACAAACATAGATGCACTTAAAAAGGATACAGCGAGCTACAAGAGTCCTTAAAGTCACCAACACACACAAACACAATCGCACGGACTTGCAGACAACGTAGCTAAGACCACCAAAAGCTCAGTGGCCCTTTAGTAGTGGTATTAGTGTGTTTGGGTGTGTGTGTGAGAGTGTGGTCGGTAAGCCAGGACTGGCAATGACATTAACCGGCTTTTCTCGATTTTTTTGATGTTTGGGAAAACGGACACCTTACACACTCACATGTAGCCAAGATGTGACAATACTTTGATAAGTGTTTTTGGGTGTGAGGATTGTGTGTGTGTGTCCAAAAGGGCCGAGGGAAAATTTTTCTGAAATTGTTTTTCATCACAGCATTGCAGTACCTGTCGATTTTTTTTTGGGGCCACGTTCTCATGCCTACATTCCTTCTTGGTCAAGAGGATTTTATGAAATTGAATTTATTAGCATGACCGGCTGAAATATTTGCATTGCCAAATGAAATTTGAAAAGTTAGTAGCGTGTCGCTGAGGTGGGCAGGGTGGCATGAGCCTGAGTAAATTTAACCAAAATAGTTGATAGGCAATAGTTTGATCGTTTTTTTTTTTGCTTTTTCGTCCTTTCAAGGGAATTTGGTCAATAGATTGCAATATTTATTGGAATTGGATTTTCTGCAAAGGTTTTTTTTTTCGGAGAAGAAATGGAAGTTTTTAAAAAAGTGTATTTTATGTGAAGATGTCAAGGATACTTCGGAGAATGGGAATTAAAATCATTTTTTATTCAAAAGAAGAGAACAAATGTTTGCAACCAAAAAAATGGATAAGTCACACAGGTATTTTCAAATAATATTATTAAATTCTAGAGGCGTATAAGTGTTGACAATACGTATACGCCCCAATTCACTTTGAGAAAAAAGACTGGAGTTCGAATATACCAGGAAAAAAATTTGTATTCAAAAATTCAAGCCTGGAGTTCAGTTGGTCCTTCAAAAAGTTGATTTAAAAATCCAAGCTTGGAGCCCCGATAACACTTAAAAAAACTCCACGGCTGCAGCTCAGATAACCCTTGAACAAATCAATTTAAAAATCCACGCCTGGAGCTCATAAGGTCCTAGACAAAATTCAATTCAAAAATCCTCGCCTGGAGGTCAGTTGGTGCTTAAAAAAATTTAATTTAAAAATCCAAGCCTGGAGCTCAGTAGGCCCTAGAAAAAATGCAATCTAAAAATCTACGCCTGGAGCTCATTAGGTCATAGACAAAATTCTATTTAAAAATCGACCCCTGTAGCTGAGAAAACCATTGAAAAAATCTACTTAAAAATCCGCGCCTGAAGCTGAGATAAACTTTAAAAACATTATATTAAAAATCCGCGCCTGAAACTCACTGAGACCTCAAACAAATTCAATAAAAAAATCTACGACTGGAACTCAGTGAGACCTTCACAAAATGTAATTTAAAAATCCACGCTTGGAGCTCTGTTGGTGCTTGAAAATATTCAAATTAAAAATCCAGGCCTGGAGTTCAGTTAAAGGTTGAAAAAATTATATTTAAAAATCCACGACTGGGGCTCTAATAACCCTAGAAAAATTCTATTTAAAAATCCACACCTGGAGGTCAATTGGTGCTTGAAAAAATTCTATTTCAAAATCCACACCTGGAGCCCAGTAGGTCTTGGAAAAAATTCAATTTAAAAATCCACGCCAGGAGCTCAGTAGGTCATAGAAAAAATTCAATTTAAAAATCCACACATGGAGCTCAGTAGATCATAGAAAAAATTAAATTTAAAAATACACGCCTGGAACTCAGTAGGTGGTAGAAAAAATTGTTTAAAAAAAATCACGCTCGGAGCTCAGATAACCATTGAAAAAAATTAATTTTAAAAATCCACGCTTGTAGCTCAGATAACCTTTGGAAAAATTATGTTTGAAAGTCCACTCCTGGAATTAGCAGGTCCTAGAAAAAATGTATCTTAAAATTCACGGCTGTAACTCAGATAATCCTTGAAAAAATATATTTAATAATCCATGCCTGGAGCCCAGTTTACTCTTGAAAACCTTTTTTTAAAAATCCAAGCCTAGAGATCATTTGGGGCTTGAAACATTATATTTAATTAATTTCAAATGAATATTGAAAATTTTCTCATGTGTTGACAACACGTATACGCTCCAATGTGATTTCTTTGTTACTTTATTTAAATGTCAACCTTTTTTTCATAGAATTTATTACATTTTTTATTTTTTTTTCTTCTTCTCTTTTCAGCCCTCTCACTATGTCACCATTACCACACCCCATGATCAAACAGATGCCGCTGATAAGGCTGAAAAGACGGCACGCATTAAACAATTGGTCGGACAATTGCAAAATAACCTTTGCAATGTCTCCGTAATGAGTGATCCCGATTTAGATTCTCTGTCGAATATGGATCCCAACTCATTGGTCGACATAACCGGCAAAGATTTTATGGAGCAGCTGAAGGATTCAGGCAGGTTAGGGGGAGAGGCCCAGATGTGGTGGTTATATCCCCTATTTGTATACCTGACACATCTATGTCTCTATTTTTTATTATTTGTTTCCATTCATATTTATGACTATTATCAATATTATGTTTGGCATGTGTTATTTACATACATATTTTTATCATGACATTTTATATTTACGCAAAACTAATTAAAAGAGCTTTTAACAGATTTTTTTTCCACCATCATTTCACATAAATTAAAATATTTATTTTTCCAGCTGTTTTGTAATGGCAACACAATTTGTAAAAATTTTATTTCCCCTGTCATAAAATATTTACAAATCATTGATAACGAATTTCCGTTCGCCTGTCAGGGCAACTGGAAATTAATGACATTATTTGTTGTATCCCAGTTTTTTTTTTCATTCACTCTCTCTCGCGGTCACTGAAATGCCAATTGAAATGAATCAGTTAAAAGCTGTTTTTTAAGCCGTAGTAGTATTTTGTTCTTTTTTATTGCATGCTCAATTTGTTGTTGTTGCCTTTTTTAAACATTCATGAGGTTCCGCACAAAACACAAAAAAGTGAACTGAGGAAAAAATATACCACTGGTGAATAAATGGTGCAGGACTAAAAGAATATTTAATAATCCTTTTGATAGCCATAATGCCGTCTACTCTCTTTAATTAATATCCTGGGCTTATTATGGGCGACGGCGAATACCATCATCATACCGATGATGATGATGATGATGGTCGTTCAAAATTTATTCGCAAAGTAAATCTGAGTGACTTATTTTTTTACCAAAAATGAAATTAAATAGAGAGAGATTGAAGTTATGAGCCAGCCAGTCTTTGGCAATTGAAATTGTGTGTTATTTATGGCGTATACGTGTTGACAATACGTATACGCCCATGTTATACCATTTAAGAATCAAGCCTAAACATAGGGGTTCTAGATAAAAAATTAAAAAAATAATAATTTAAAAATATTCGATTAGAGCTCAGATAATAAATAATAAATTTTATTTAAAAATCCACACCTGGAGCTCCGATAGCCCTTGAACAAGTGCTATATAAAAATCCATGCCTTGAGCTCAGATACCCCTTGAACAAATGCTATATAAAAATCCACGCCTAGAGCTCAGATAGCCCTTTAACAAATGCTATATAAAAATCCACGCCTAGAGCTCAGATAACCCTTAAACAAATTTTATTTAAAAATCCACACCTGGAGCTCATATAGTCCTTGAAAATATTCTATATAAAAATCCACGCCTGGATGTCAATAGGTCGTAGACAAAATTTTATTTAAAAATCCACGCCTGGAGTTCAGTTAGAGGTTAACAAAATTCTATTTAAAAATCCACTCCTGGAGCTCAGTTGGAGGTTGAAAAAATTATATTTAAAAATCCACGCCTGGAGCTCAGTGGGTCCTAGAAAAATTCTATTTAAAATTCACGACTGGAGATCAGTACATCCTAGAAAAAATTTTATTTAAAAATCCACGCCTGGAGCTCAGTAGGTGGTAGAAAAAATTCTATTTAAAAATCCAGGTCTGGAGCTCAGCAGGATCTAGAAAAAATTCTATTTAAAAAACCACGCCTGGAGCTCAGTGGGTCCTGGAAAAATTCTATTTAAAAACCACGCCTGGAGCTCAGTGGGTCCTGGAAAAAATTCTATTTAAAAATCCACGCTTGGAGCTCAGTGAGTCCTAGAAAAAAATTTTTTTAAAAATCCACGCCTGGAGCTCAGTAGGTGGTAGAAAAATTTGTATTTAAAAATCCACGCCTGGAGCTCGGTGGGTCCTAGAAAAAAATTCTATTTAAAAATCCACGCCTGGAGCTCAGTAGAAAAAATTCCATTTAAAAATCCACGCCTGGAGCTCAGTAGAAAAAATTCCATTTAAAAATCCACGCCTGGAGCTCAGTTAGAGTTTGAAAAAGTTCTATTTAAAAATCCACGCCTGGAGCTCAGTTAGAGGTTGAAAAAATTCTATTTAAAAATCCACGTCTGGAGCTCAGTTAGAGGTTGAAAAAATTCTATTTAAAAATCCACGCCAGGAGCTCCGTTAGAAGTTACAAAAATTCTATTTAAAAATCCACGCCTAGAGCTCAGTTAGAGGTTGAAAAAATTCCTAGAAAAAAATCTATTTAAACATCCTTGCCTGGAACTCAGTTAGAGGTTGAAAAAATTCCTAGAAAAAATCTATTGAAAAAATTCCTAGAAAAAAAATCTATTTAAACATTCTTGCCTGGAACTCAGTAGGTCCTAGAAAAATTCCATTTAAAAATCCACGCCTGGAGCTCAGTAGGTGGTAGAAAAAAGTCTATTTAAAAATGTACGCCTGGAGCTCAGTGGGTCCTAGAAAAAATTCTATTTAAAAATCCACGCTTGGAGCCCAGTAGGTGGTTGAAAAAATTCTATTTAAAAATCGAGGCGTGGATCCTAAAAAATTCTATTTAAAAATCCACGCCTCAATAGGTCCTTTAAAGGGACTTATTTGTCCTGTGCGTGAACCTCTTTAGTGCATGTTTTTGTTGTTTTTACTCTCTCTCTTCTCTCTCGTTTTCCCTTTCTCTTCTCGTTACTGTTGATCTATATATTTTTTCGAAATTTTATATTAATGTGTTCTCTTTCTTATTTTTTCTCTCTCTGTCTCCCCCATTATCACTCTCGCTCTCACCGTATAGACCATTGTGTGCAAAGCGAAACGCTGAGGACCGAATTAACCTGTTAAAGCTATTGAAGGAGGGTGCCATCTTCTGCTCCGAACGTTATCCCGAGGATGCTGAGGCCATTGATGCGGAAATCCGTAGGCAGTTGAATGATGAATTACACAATAATCACAATAATAGCATGACAATCGAACAACAACAGCAGCAGCAGCAACAGCAACAACAACAGGTACAAAAGGACACAACAAAGACAACAACTACAACAAATCGCAAAACTACTACAACAAATCACAAACAAAATCAGGAACAAACAATAACTATTGTGGTAACCGATACAAATTTAAAAAATGATAACATTACAACAGCAACAAGGACAACAACAAAAACAACAACTACAGGAAACAAAAACACTCACGACATATGACTACCGATTTTTGCCAGTATCACTTGAAATCTAGAAAATAATAGCTGTAAGGATAAGGGTTAAGGTGATGATGATGACCAAGAGGAGGAGGATGAGGAGAAGGAGCAGAAATTTTCAAAATTAAAAATAATAAGCGCTGCAAGGACTAAGGATGTTGGTGCCAGGTAAGACAAGAGCAAACGGGCAGAGTGCGATGGAAATTTGTTACGGAGCATGTTAGGGAATCTCAAAAATAATTTAAATATGCCAATGAAGGATAATTTAAGTTTCGTTGCAAAAATGGCCTACAACACCTCTTGGGGTGACCAAAAAACGAAAAATTTAAAAATAATTTAAAAACAAGTTTTACTAATAATTAAACAGCAACAATATTTTGTATTGCATTTATGTCCTGTTCCTTTCCCTTACACACTACAACCATCACTAAAAATTAAGTAATTTATTTTTTTTTCGTCGAGCACTCTCTGCAAAATGTCAATAAATGTTTTTCGTCGTGTAATAAAATTAGTGTTAGGTATTGCAATAACAACAACAACATTGCTAATTTCCCAAAAACACCCAGAACAACAGCAACAAAAACACTACTGCAATTTTTTTCCAAACCAACATCACTCGAAATGGCAACATCATGTTCGACAGCATTTTGTAATTGAGATTTGGGCTTGATTCCAATATATGAGAAATGAAATAAATATCCTTGCAACAACAACAACAACAACAAATTGTATTTGAAATGAATTTCAATTAAACAATTTATACGGTTTTGATTTTGAGCAGACCTATTTAATTAGTAGAAATGAAAAAAACAAAAACAAACAAAGAGGAAAAAATATAGAACACACACAGGTTGGTTAACTACACCATTTCCAACAAAATCGTGATTTTTAAAAAAAAAATCAAGGGAAACACAAGGCGTGGATTTTTTAAAAAAATATTTTTTCATGTAACCACAAGGCCTGGATTTTTTAAAAAAATATTTTTTTATGTAACCACATGGCCTGGATTTTTTAAGAAATATTTTTCCAAGTAACCAGGATTCACACAAGGCGTGATTTTTTTTAAAAATATTTTTTCCGACTAATCGCTAGGCTTGGATGTTTAAAAAAAATAGTTTTTCCACTAACCGCAAGGCTTTTTCAAGTAACCACAAGGCGTGCATTTTTAAAAAAATTTTTTTTAAAGGATTCACACAAGGATTTTTTAAAATATATTTTGTCAATGACTCGCAAGGCATGGATTTCTTAAAAGTATTTTTTTCAAAGACTCGCAAGTCATTTTTCCAGTAACACAGGCGTATGACCACTGAGGTCGTCTATTTCAGAGTAGATGGCAAAAATGTTCTCCTTCTCCACACTAGAGGGCCACTTAGGTCATCTACAGTGAACATTAGTGTACATCTACTGTCCATTAGATGTCGTTAGTGTACATCTACGGCCCAATAGTTACCCTTAGTTTACATGTACTACTCAGTAGATGTCCTTAGTGTACATTTACGGCCCAGTAGATATCCTTAGTGTACATCTACTGCCCCGTAGATATCCCTAGTGTACATCTACATTTATTCCGGGGCATCCCCTATTATGTAGGAGATGTCGATAGTGTACATCTACTGCCCAGTAGATGTCCTTAGTGTACATCTACTGCCCGGAAGATGTCCTTAGTGTACAACTACTGACCTCAGTGGGCATTTACAGTATAATCGACGGACGTGACATCCATTTCGGGTTGATGATCGTAGTGGCCATCTAGTGGGTAATGTATAGACATTTTTGTCATCTGACCTCAGTGGCCATATACTCCGAATTAGATGGCTTTCAGAGCCCTCTATGGTTGAGTAGATGGTATTAGGGTGCATCTACTGTCAAGAATTTGACTTCAGTGGCCATCTACTGTGGAGTAGATGACCTTAGAAGTTATCAACTCTGAATAAGGTGATCTCTGTGGCCATCTACTCTCAAGTACTTCAGATGTGTTGTGTAAATTTCCTGATTATTCATCTACTGTCCAGTAGATCACATCTGTGATCATTGAATAGCGAGTAGATGGCATTAAGGGCCCCCTAGTATTGAGTAGCTGACCTCAGTGGTTATTTAGTGAATAGTAGGCGAATTCTATGGTAGTACTACCGGCAGGTAGATGGCCATGGTAGATGGGCATATATTGTGGTATAGATGGTCTCATTTACCACATGTGATATGATTTCATCTATGGAGTAGAAGTCTTCAGTTTCCATCTAGTGTGATGATGTCCTTAGTGTGCAACTACTACCCAGTAGATGTCCTTACTAAACATCTATTGCCCAGAAGATGTTCTTGGTGTACAACTACTGACCTCAGTGGAAATCTACAGTTGAATTGACCTACGTAACACCCATTTCGAGTAGATGATCGTAGTGGCCATCTAGTTGGTAATAGATGAACATTTTTGCCAGCAGATGACTTTCAGAGCCCTCTATGGTTGAGTAGATGGCCTCAGTGGAGATTTACTGTCAAGAAGTTACCCTCAGTGGTAAGGAGTAGGAGAACTTAGAAGGTATCAACTGTGGAGAAGATGATTCTGTTGAGTACATGGCCTTTGCAGGTCACTGTAGTCATCTACTGGACAGTAGATGACTACAGTGACCTTCGAAATCTCCATGAACGTGAAGTAGCTGCGCCATCTGCATATTAGTATGTGATAAGCTTATCGAATGTATCACAGGAAGGGACATCTTCATTTCAGCAGCGATGTTGATTTATTCGATGTAATTTTCGTTTTCAGTTCATTCAACTGTGAAGAAGTTGACATCAGTGGCCATCTACTGTATACTAGGTAAGCTTAAAATCCATCAGCTATGGAGAAGATAATCTCTGTGGCCATCTGCTCTCAAGTAGATGACTTCAGATGCCCTCTACTGTTGAGTACTTGACCTTTGAAGGCATCTACTGTCCAGTAATAGAAATGAAGAAGATGACTACAGTGACCTTCGAATAGAAAGTAGATGGCGTCAATGGCCCTCTAGTGTTGAGTAGCTGACCCTCTAGTGTTGAGTAGGAGACATCTATCGTAATACTATTGTCGTGTAGATGGCCTTAGTGGCCATTTACTGTGGTGTAGATGGCCTCCATTACCATTTGTCTACGAGTAGATTATTTCATCTATGGAGTAGAAGTCTTCAGGGTCCATCTAGTGTGCAATTGAAAATATCAGTGAAATATTTTTTTCTTTTTGAAATGGTGTAGTTCAATCCCAATCGAATATAATCTATGGTAATGTATGGTTAACGTACTATTTAAGGTCACAACTAAACGAAAATTGAAAAACAGAAATTAAAAATTAAAAAAAAAAAAATCTAAACGGAAATAAATGAATTTGAATGAATTTAAAATCCCAAACATAAAATTTTACTGACAAGTTTTACAAACACATAAAAATCGATATGAAAAATAATTTACAGAAAAAAGGACGAGTTAGGAGATTCGAAGTCATCACATAAAATTATATACTAAAAACATTAAATCACATATTAACAAAACATTTAAGATTTTACAGAAAAAAACCCTTACATCAGCATTTAATCCAATAACAACTCAAAAAATATTCATTAACCCATAACCGATAAAAAAATAAAACCAGAGGAGAATGAGGGTGGACAATTATGATATAATAAAATTAATGTAAGCTAAACAAAATAAATTAATTAAGAGATACCTGTAAACGATGGTTAACGTATTGTTATAGAAAAAACAACCAAACAAACATTCATACAAACATACTTACATACAAAAAATCTTAAACATTTAATAATAAAATTTATATAAAAAACAAACTACAACAAACGAAGCAGTAAACTATACATTTTTCCAAACACCATCCATATATACATTACAAGAATAAAATAATAATAATAATAAATAAACACAAATAATATTAAACATTAATTAAAAATGAAATACAAGAAGGCAACAACAATGGTATACAACTTCTATTTACTGTTACCAAGAAGCAGCAATTAGTAAAAATAAAAAAAATATATGAAAAACTACATAACATAATAGCCCCTAAAAGTATACAATAGAACAATGAACATGAACTTATATTCATCAAAATCAACAGCAGCATTAATTAAGCCAAAAATACATACAAACCTACAAACATTACTACATACCTACCAACAAAAAAAAAAAAAAAACTAAATAATAGTAATAATAATAATTACAATATATACATATTCTACATCTTTAATACTTGATGACTTGAAGTATAAGGGAAGTTTTGATGTTGGAGTAAAACCCCAGCCAACCCATCCTCTCCCCTATACACACACATCCCCCTCAAATTTATACCAACTAAATTGAAAACTAAAGAAAAAACTTGTACTTAGGTATACATACTTTACACATACATACAATTTAATAAAGAGTGTGTGCGTGTGCGAGAGGCGTTTAGTAAGATCAATACAATACCAAATACAATGAAATAATCTAAAATTAAATATCCAATATACTCTTAATGATAAAAATCGAAAGCAACCAACAGCAACAATTAGATGCTAACTACATGTAGAAGCTTGAAAGCAGTAAAAAAAACAGAACCACATTTTCGACTTAATAATAAACACAAAAATTAAGAACTCTATTTTTTCCACTTACACCTTTTTCAAGTTTTCTTTTAATTACATTGGTTTAACAATTTTCATTTTGAATCAAAATTTATTTCTAGAGAAGCAGGGAATCTCTAGTCGCCTTTAAAAAAAATAAGAGGTCATAGAGAAATCATAAGAAAAATGAAAGTAAGAAAGAAATATGATGAACTCATTGGCCATATGCTAAGGAGTAAGGAAGGCCATCTACCCTTAAGTAGATGACCTCAGTAATCATAGACTGCGAAGTTGAATATTTCCCGTGCCCTCTACAGTTGGGTGTATAGTCGTAGTGAATATATACTGCGTGGAAGTTGTCCTCAGGGGCAGTCTCCTGTGGAAATTGATGACCTCTGTTGGCATATTCTCTAAAGTAGATGACTTCAGATGCCCTCTATTGTTGAGTAGTATGATCTAGTGGACATCTACCTCCCAATAGTTGACATCAGTGACCA